GTCTTTGCGAGTTACTACACAATTAATGTATAAATAATAATATCTCCATTGAAATAATTAATTCCAGTTAAAATAATATACAACACAAACAATACACCTTCCAATTGTAAATTTTGTAGTTTATTAGGGATTGCAAACCAGCACATATTTTCTAGGTTTAATTCTCTCCTTATCATGAATTATTTAATTAAATCCTATCTGCCTTTCTCTAATCGTAAGGCAGGGAACGTTTTGTTTTTCAGATCCTAACTACAAGTTCACCAGAGCAAATGTTTTCTAATTCAGCGCAAGCGTTATAGCTCACGTGCTCACGTGGAATTTCGCACGGATACCTCTGCGCTGTATCATCGCTACGAAGCCTAGCCGCTGCGCAGAATCACTCAAGCCCAACTTTGAAAATTATACACAATAAAAAAGGTCAAGCGTGAAGAATATGTGATTACACCGAAACCGCACACAGTTTTTTCTTACCTATACAACATAGACATGGTCTACTATTTCTTATATTGTCTATTACAAAAGGTGCAATGTTATCTCTGCCAAGATACTGAAGCAAGAAACGTGACAATAGGTCCTTACCTTCTTTATCAAATGAGTGATTATTTTTGGGCAACTTTATACTAGCAGGGACCTGGAGTAGGCAGCCAAGATGAATCTTTATAAACAGGAGAGCAAAAAGTTGGCAAGTTCAGCATAGGATATTTACAGTCTTTAGTCTCAGTAAGTTTCCTTCAAAACAGTAGTGATCTTTAGAATATGGAACCCTGCCAGCACACTACCTCCCCTACCCCTTTAATTGGCTCTTCCTAGCAACACTCAGATTTCACCAGCACTAGACTGGAGATCCGTGGCTTTCCTTATTTGGAAAAGGGACAAAACCGCATCCTTTGGCACTCTGCCCACTCCTACAGCATCTGTTGCATGAAAGCCAGAGGAAATATTGCCAGAAGCACGTTCCACGTGACAGGATGGCAGCTCGCCAAAAGACTAAAAAGAACAAACTCTTGAGATAATTTATAACGAATGAAATACCTCCTCACTGAACAATCACCATAGCAGAACTACAACCCCACCTAGCGGATAGGAGCAAGATGAATCATCATGAAGAACAGGTGCAGGTTCATATAAGAATTTCAATGCATTATTTAGTTCTCCAGACAAAATAACTTCTTTTAACGAAATACAAATTCAGGCTTCGCTCTAGTACAAACACTTTATTGTAGCCTTCCATCCACACTATTCTACTTGGGATAAAGAAATAAATCAGTAAGAATTATTGTAGCAGTGACGTTGTGTCCATTTATATCAAACAATATATTTTATAAAAAAAAAGTACAATTATTTTCAATCCAGATGACACTTATTTTGTAAAATAAAGATCTTTTGTACCAAGTTCGCCCTAGATTATTTTTTCATAAAAGAATACCATTTCAAGAAACGAGAAACAGATCACTTGTGAAGACTGTTAGCTTTATTTAAACAAGTCTTAAGAACTTTCGTGCAAACCTAATTTCACACTGATAGGCCTAGAACGACGCCCACCGCTAACTCTTCGGCTAATTCTTCCTGCACGAATTGTGGCATTTGACCGTCACTCTTATAGCACACCCGCTGCTTCAAAGTGCGGAGCGAGTATTACTGACAATGGGAAACGAACCACGAATCCTCGGATTCACAATACAGACACGCTATCCATTGAACCACGACTGTTTAGTCTCAATGAAAAAAACAAAACAATCACCAGATTACTCGGCAGACGACATCATTTTAACCACAATTAACAACAACAGGAAAATAATATTATTTTAAACAGAATTAACAACAAACTGAGTAAAAGCCTCACGATTTTACAAGCTAATAATATGATGATTTGAAAATTATTTTAGGTAAGCATGTGCGTTTTTATGTACTTGTGTGTGTACAGATAAATATATAATGGCTTGGCCAATCGAAACTATGCATGTTTCAGATGAATATAATTTAAGGTATATATATATACACTATTACTAGAACAAGTCATTGAAACGAGTCGTTTCGTATATATTTTAAAACGCTATTGTACAATTAAATATAATTTTATATTTGCTACTAATGGAATAGTTTTCGTATTCAATCGGAAGTTTACAAAGAACAAATTTAAACGGTAACAATATAATATAATGTACGATAAAAGGTGCGGCATACACATATTTAATAACATTGTCAAGCGAAAAATATATAAAGAAAGGCTTAGATATAAGAATAAACACTGTATCTTTAAAATAATGAGAATAACCAAATAACAAAATACGGAGAATTTGGAACTGATTAAATTAATCACAACAGGTTGGTGATATTAATTAGTGTTGGGTGGTCATTGGAGAAAATTCTCGTGACTACTGTTCGTTGGTAAAAGAGCAACTAACGAGTTGGCTATCATTGCTATATTAGGGACGGCAAGCGAAGATAGCTCTCGTGTAGCTTTGCGCGAAATTCAAAACCAACTAAACCAAACTTAACGTGAAAATGCTAGAGTGCTACCCCCACCATTACCACCAAAGAAATTTCTAAAACTTACGAAATAACTTTACATTTTTTTTTTCAAAGCACGAAGCTACGCAATAGGATATATGTGTGCTACGCCCTCCGCGGGTATCTAAGTCCGATGTTTAGCGTTATAAATCCACTGACTTACCACTGAGTCGGGGGAGGGACTATACATTTACAGTTAGCTGACACTATGAATGTCTAAGACTGCTTTCCATAGAATGACGTTAATCAACCGGTTATCCCTGAAAAATAACCTTATGAATAATAAAAAACACCTTAATCATTGAGCATTTTTGAACAGTACAACGAATATAGATACGGAAGTTTTATTTTTGTTGTTGTTGTTTTAACTAATCTTGTTTTATTGTTCTTTTTTAAACCTAAACAATTATCGAGGTGATTTCACGATAAATCTAATTACATTTGGTACGTTAACGTAAATTTAGTAATGATTATTATATTAAGAAATTATTTCCAAACTTAGTGCCATAAAATTATTCTCCTTGCCAGGCAGACAATATTCGTTACAGAGGTTAAATCAATATACCGTAGGAAAACAAAAACAGTCAAACGCGTCAGTGGAATCTTAATCCAGGCGACCAAACGTGACTGAGGGATATAGTTTGATATTGTTTTTTTTTTTATTAATTAATAATATTTGGATATCCTACAACAACATATCTCCAGATTAGATGTTTTTACTAGGCAGCTAACCAAAGGGACCATCAGTTGAATTTGAAGACTTTAGAAATAGCAAAGTATAAACTTGTACATTCAATACTAGATCGCGCGATAAATAAAAGCCGGTGAGTTGTTTACGATTTATCAATTGTCCAATAGGAAGCTCCCACGTCGACTTTAGAGGCGTGCTTAATAATATAATGATCACTGAATGCTCACAATAAGGTCAACTTTTGATCTTTAACATCATTGACTGGTTACAAGAGGCCAGGCAGCCAGTACAGTGATGATCACGAATACCGTTACCCAGAGCTGTGAGAAATATACAGCTGCCGTTACCGAACAGGTCAACTGTCAACAAGGAATTTTAATAAACAAGGTCTCTCAATACTGGCCAGATGGGCGATGGCCTTTGTCCGCTGAAACGAAGCGTGTCAACTGCCAACCGGGATTACAAAATTAATTGTTTTCGTTTAGAAAAGACCAACCAACTGGCAAGGACTTTTACTCACGTTAAGTGACATGAGTGTATACACGTTCCTATCTGTCGACCTACATTTGGCAAAAATGACGTCATAACGATAAGTTAAATCTCCAACTGAAAACTATCCCCATCTTATATTTTCTATTTATATTTTTATGTAAATATAATCGTAACATAAGATTTGAATGTGTATGTACCTAACTTATAAAATCACTTCTTATTGTTTTCCTATGATAATACAAGTAAAAATATTACAGCAGTAATCATATAAACTTCAAATAGTTATATCAAATAAGCTGATGTATTAAAATACAATAATCGAGAAAGCCTGAGGGAATGCAAAAATTACTTAAGGGAATGCCACTTGATCCTTAGAATTACTGTTTGGACCCATATCCCATCGCATTTATCCACCAAATTAGTTGTTGGTCCATGGATGTTGATTGCAGGATCCATAAAAAAACACAAGTAACACACAAAAACGTAAACAAAAATACCGTCAATTGCTCCCACTAATTACACTGCTGAGATTTTCTATGTATTTTATGTAAATAAAGGAGAGTGATTTCATCTTTTTTTTTGCCAGTTTTTTACACTCTGTGTTATTGACAGATACAAATATATAGTTACTCAAAATGACGCAGTTATGTAGTAGCAAACAGTATATAAACAAGTCGATAATTTGGGCATTAATCAGTATCTCAAATCATAAACAAGTCGATAATTTGGGAATTAATCAGTATCTCAAATCATAAACAAGTCGATAATTTGGGAATTAATCAGTATCTCAAATCATAAACAAGTCGATAATTTGGGCATTAATCAGTATCTCAAATCATAAACAAGTCGATAATTTGGGAATTAATCAGTATCACAAATCATATACATCTGTGGTTATCAAGTTTTTAATAACCACATAAAAACACTCAAGTTTTATCACCGAGTATGGGGTTCGAGCGTTGCTTTAGTGGTTGACGTGCCGGACATCGAATTCGAGAATCCATGGTTTACGTTCCGCTACTACCACAAATTTTCTCTCAGCGCTTTGTGGCCATTAATGCTTTATAAAGTTACGGTCAAATTTTATTCATGTAGAGTAGGTCAGGCTTTGTAAATCAGTTCAGAATTAGAGACGGCTAACTCTTGTGTAGCTTTGCGCAAATTCAGAAAAAAAAAATCACTGTATGGCGGTTGCAAAGTGTATGTATACTTTAAAACTCCGAGGGATAGTACTAAAAAATAAAACCCAAAATTGAAAATACTTTAAAGAACATTTTTTTCCAATAAACACATCATTTGAAAAATCATAAGAAAATAATAAGACTAGGAAATCAGTTTAAGTGTAAAACCTCTTGACTGTAAAGTCGTAAAAATGCTCGTGAAGTAAACACCTTCGTAAAACAATTATTTTAATTCATGTTACAGGGATTTCTAATAATATATACAGTGGTTACAGAAAACCAAAAGTTGGTGTTTTAAAAGTTCACAACAATAAAAGCATCTCTTGGTAGTTGGAAAGATAAGATTACTAGACACAAGAGAAAGGAGCATCTGGTGGACATATATAACTTTACTTCGTTTATATAATACAGGAGGTTTGTTTCTCGTGAGCTCAAAATGTATATCGAAAAAACAAAACAAAAAAGCTTTCCTATTTCCAAATTTATTTCTAAAATAAAAAAAATACAATAATTATGGAATTCTTGAACACTTCTTTAATCTAAGTGCTAATACACATAAAAAAGTGTTATCAATTACATAATATAAAACGGCACTTGTGCAATATATACATATGTACAGTTAAAAGGAGTACAACGTTAACATAATTACACAATAAATAATTATTAAAAGAGGTACCAGTCCTAAAATGACTCTATACGTTCCAGTGTTTTTACGCCACCATTTTCAGATCTGAAGATCATACGAAATATATAGTCATTCTAGGGCTGGTTCCTCTTTTAATAATTATTTATTGTGTAATTATTTTAGCGTTGTACTCCTCTTAATTATATATATATA